AAGCTTTATTACTCGTGCATTGGTGTTATAGGACTACTGGACTTGCAATTGAGAGAATATCATGGTGGTTTATTCTTAATATTAACTTCTAGTGACTGTTATGTTGCAATCTGGCACTATTGCCATGAGATCTTGTGATTTTTGTATGATTATTTATTCTGAATTGTTGATCTAACCATTATTTGTGCACGAATTCTCTTGTTTAGGATTGTCATTTTTTAAGATTATAATTTCGACCAACACATATAGTCTTGATAAATAATTTGAGACCATAAAGTTCCACTAGATGCGACAATTTGCTAATGTCACCTTATATGGATAATGTATGTTTTGTGGCAGTCTTCTTAATCAAACAGTTTTTCTGCCTTTTAGTGAGAGACCCATGATGTATAATGTTAGATAACATATATCAATATGTGTCTTCTGGCGTGTGAGTATTATTGTGGTAACAGTGAAGGTACGTATATAATTCGTGATCGGAGGCATATATTAAATATGTTTGTCTACCAGTGATTTGTAGGAACACAAGATGCACTTCATGTTCATGCATGCTTTAACATTTCTGTGTTAATGAAGTTTATGTTTGTGCGCATGTGCTTGTGTTTGCAGGCATGTGCACAGTTGCTGGCACTCAAATTGGATCAGTGATCGATTTCTAGGTTTTGGGGAACTTAACCATGATATGGGTCAATTTTTTGGGGAAAAAAAAAAAAAAAACTCTCTTACAGCTTTTGCAACTAATCCATGAATTAAATTTGATGTGTAATAATCATATCATGATAGATACAGTTCATTTCCTTGTCACATAGAGTAGCCATGAACGGTGTATGAAGTTTATTTTATAGGGGGTGATTTTAGCGGGCATGTAGGCGGTGATCGAGTATGTTATACACGACTGCACAGGGGATGTGTAATAATCATATTCTTTTTTTTTTTTTTTTTTTCTTCTTTTTACCTGAATGGTGTGCAAGTTTCCATCTGTATATCTTTTCTCCTTAATAGTTTTAGGTTGATTACAAACTTGTTTGAATTATAAAATAAAAAATAAAAAATTCCTCATGAAGTTGATAAGTGGTTTGCTCTTTTTCTGGACACAACCTTCAACATTCATAAGTGGTTAATTCAAGTCATGAAACTGTGAAATGAATTTAGGTCGTTAAAAAAAAAAAAAGGCTGCATTGAGCAACTTGTTTGACCAAATTTAACATATAAAGTGCACTCTTGTTGTGTGATATAGGAAAACTTTCTGGTGGTTCTCCTCTGTTTGTTTCACCTTCACCCTTTTTTTTTTTTAAATTGGTACTTACCTGCATATGTCTCTACCGAGATTCGAATCTCTAACCTTTCTATAAGATATTAGATTCTAATACTGTTAAGCCACTAGCTTGTTGATATTTTTCACCTTCACCTCTGTAAAAACAACTCTCCAACTTCCAAAACCCAATTCCTACTTTCAATTGTAGGATTAGGGATGCTAATCCAATTAGTTGGGAAAAAGCTTTTCTTAAATTTGTAATACTATCTTGCATAAAGAGGTCTACAGACCATGAACTGGAAGTGACTGAAGCCTTGCATAAACTTTAAATTGTAATCATAAATTTTAATATCTATCCCTAAACTCCTAATTCCTTAAACAGTATAATGTGTATATATAATGTAATTAATATTTTAGCATGGATGTTATATAGAAAATGATCACTTACCAACATGTGAGTGGCTTAGCTGTACCATCAGGCTCCAACTTTTCAAAGAGAGGTCGGGATTTGAGCCTCGGTGGAGGTATGTGTGTGTGAGTACCAATTAAAAAAAAATAAAATTTGATCACTCATTATTCAGATACTAAAGGGTATACTTGTGCTATGTTCTTGAACAGTCAAATTAAATAGATTGAGTTCGCAAATTCAAATAAGAATTTTTTGTTTTGAAGAATTAATTAAAGTAGGAAAATGATATAATGACCGAACCAAACAACTGAATAAAAAGTCGAACCTAACGTGGCTAGGCCACGTATTTTCTAAAAGTATAAATGTCTTTGTTTCTCTCTCTTTTCTCCCTCTTTCTCCATTTTTCTGGTTCTTGATTCTTCCTCTCTCCACTCTATCTCTTCTCTCTATCTGTCTCTTTTTTATTTTCAAAATTGAAGAGAAAAATAAAAATAAAATTCCATCTCGTATTGCCTCTTAAAATCAAGGGTTGAATCCACGGATGATATATAACTCTATCATTTGGGCCAAAACGAAACAGATGATTATGATAGCTTCACTTTCAACCAAATTAAAGATGGAACAATATGTATGTTGTAAAACGCTTTGCGATTCAAGTATGGCAAAACTGAAATATAATTTCTTTTCTATATCTTTTAGATTACATATTTGCCAATAAAGTCTGCATAATTAAAAAAATGCATAATTAAAAAAAAAAAAAAAAAAAAAAAAAGTCTATCGCCATCAAAGCTTTGAGAAGATTCACCAATTTCTCTTGATTTTCATTTTGTAAAAGATTAATGTCTGTTGTGACGGCAACTCTTCTGAATAATTTTTTCATTTGAAAGATCTCCTTGGAATCCAAGGTAGAGATGCCTATGAAGAGAATATTATGAAGACTTGAACAAAAAAGTGAGAATGAGGACTTGAAGAGAGGAGAGAGAGAAACGGCGAGGAAACGAGAAAGAGAGAAACAGCGGACGAAGAGACAGAAAGAAATGTTTAGGAAACAATCTAACGTGGCTTAGCCACGTAAGATTCGATCATTCTTTTTGCAGAAACCTTCGATTTTTCTATCACTGCTCGTTAAAGTAACACGATTATGATATAAATGTAATTAACATTAATTTAAATAAGTTAATTTGGTGTTAACATATTGATTCAAATCTTGTCGTGGCAACTTAGTAGAAGGGTCACTGTCACTTTATTCAAAATATGTTATTCTTTATATTCTACAACTCTTTTATTTTCTTTTGTGTATATAAAATATGTAGTTAATATGTATTCAAATTGGATACTCTCATTTGTTAATGTTACAATGTACCATTTAATGCAAGGACAATGTTACTTCTACCTAAGTTGTTTATATGATATTTAAAAAGATCAAATATTTAGTCCGTACATTTTTTAATTTACTTTTTTCCTTTTTCCAATTCGTCCTGGACAATTGATTTGCACATGTATAACACGATGTTCAAACTAGGATGCTAGAATAGATGGAAAGGAGTTAGTTATAACGAAATTGAACAGTTTATAGGAATATAATATGCTTAGATTTCTAAAGTTTGCAGGCTATTTGTGTAGAGTTGAATTGTAGGTTAGTAGGCTGTGTAAAACACGTTTTCCAAAGAACCAACGCGTCCCACATCGGCTAAAAAGTAAAAGGCTGTACACTTGATATATGATTCGTTTACAATTGACTAACGTCCCTTCGGGGACATCCGATAAAATTGGAACGATACAGAGAAGATTAGCATGGCCCCTGCGCAAGGATGACACGCACAAATCGAGAAATGGTCCAAATTTTTTTTTGACCTTTTTGCCCAATATTCGGCATGTGCTTTTACAAAAATACCTTTTTAATTCGTCCGTTTCCCAAACTACCCCTGCCTTTCTTCCACGTGTCTTTTTATCGGCTTTGAGACTCACAAGAAGATGATTACCGTGGAGCTCCCTTCCTCGTTTATCTCTGCGTTATATATATGGGCTATGTAACCCATTTATATTTACACCATCAATTATTGTTCTGGTGACTGTTGAAGGCAGAAACTATAAAATCTCGAAACGTACATGGATATCTGTGCTTGACATGGCTTCCTTTTCTGCTATTGTTATTGCAAGCATTTTGGGTGTAAGTGTGAGTTCGTTCTAAGTTTCAATTCAGAACCAGTTTTTGTTTCATTAATATTTTTGGTTTCTCTTGCCATTACCAATTCTTTGTTCTAATTTTTTTTTGGAATTCATTAGTTTCTTTGCTTCAATAAAATGTATAGTAAAATGAAATGAAAATAAAATGGTGGGAGAGAGAGAGCCACGGCTGGAAGAAGGAAAGAAAAGAATGAAATGTGTGGCTAAAATGAAATAAGCCTATTTTATATACTAAAGTCAAATTGCGATCTCATCTCCCACTTAAATGTTTAAAACAATCCGTTTAAATCCAGCCGAACACTCGCAAATGACACAACGCAGTGCAAAACAGATATCCCCAGCATATGCAAAAAGGACAGTGATGTCGAGAAATTTTTCGAATACAAAAATTCGTCGTAGGCTCACCCGGCACCTCTCGACATGCAAAATCGAAAATGACTGAAATGAAAATGAGTTTTTAAGGGTTTTAAACTTGAAGAAACACCCCCAGACAACTCTTGGAATATCGTGGCACACATTCTCATGTACAATAAACTAAAAAGAAAAATGTCCGAAAAATATTGATAACATTTGAGACGTTATGTTAAAGGACACTTCTAGCAACGTAACAAGAATATTAAAAATATTAAATATAATATATATATATATATATATATATATATGTGTGTGTGTGTGTGTGTGTGTGTGTGTGTGTATATATATTGTAAAGATACATATTTAATCGGAGCAGATTCATCACTAAATCACCTATCCCAAACCTATTTTAAATTTTTAAGTAGTTTATCATACCCGTCTCCAAACCCATTTAAAGGGGTGAGAAGGAAACCTGCCATCCCAAACCCGTTAAAACTTGCCCTAAATTTTTTTGAAACCTATTAGTGGTACATATTTAAGGTATTAATTGTGATTCTAGGTAGAAAAATTCAAACCATCCCTCCAATTTTTTCAATAAATCATTGTAGTCTTGCTTTTACAAAATCAAAATATAGTAAAAATGTATAAATAATTATTATAATAATCGCTACAACATATAAACTACTCTATTTGTAAGTATATATAATATAATATTATTTGTTATGAATTAAAAAAAAAAAAAAAACAGAATATTAACATTCCACAGTGTTCTTTCAATTTTTATATTAAAAAAGCGTTGAATTTTTTTTTGCGTTCAGGCTCACCAGAAGCTCTGAAGCTTACCGTGGAGCTCCCTTTCTCTCACACATCTTCGTTCCCCCACCAATTTGTAGTCTCTTTCTCTTCCCCGTGCTCTCTCTCTCTATATTACTCCTTCAATTATTGTTCTGGTGACCGTTGAGGGCAACAACTCGAAACCAAGGTTAGTTGTCTCTTCCCTTTTCACACTCTATTTGGATCATCTCTCCATGGCTATGGCGCTCACACAGTTATCTAAACGTTGGTCTATGTATGTACATGGGTATCTGTGCTTGATTTGGCTTCATTTTATGCTGTTGTAATCGTTAGCATTTTGGGGTAAGGGTTTGTTCCTTTTTTTCGTTCTAAGTTTCAATTCCATAACCAGTTTTTGCTTCAGTAGATGCTTTGGCTTCCCTTGGAGTAGTAGCATCACTAATTGTGGTTCTCATGCCATTAACAATTCTTTTTTTCTTTGTTGGGAAATCATTCGTTTCTTTGTTTCCCCTTTCCTATTATTTGTGAATTTTTGTGTGTTTCTTTGTATCTATCTGTTCATGTACTTGTATTTTTGTCCATTAAGTGGTTAATTTATCACAAATTTAAATGCCAATAAAGTATTTACTTAATTTCTATAAAATTTAGGTTGGCTCTCCCCACAATAGAAGGTAGGCTATCAAACCCTAATTATATTAGTAAAAAAGAAGTTACCATTGCCATCCTATTTTTCTTCTTCATCTATTGCTTCAATCTTTGTTAGTCAGATCACACTTCCTTGAATTTTCATGCTCGGTCTCAATTTCTGTCGAAAATTTCTTTTATTTTTATTCTTTTCATTTTTATCCAAATAACTGGATCAGACTGATACAACACAAAATTTATCATGGTTGAGTTAGTTGTTTTTTTCTTTTTCCTATTCCCGGGTGCGATATCATGGAAATTATTTTTTTTCCATCCTGTTTTGGGTTGACAGTGAACCCAACAGTCCCAAACTGATTAATGCCAAGCACGAAAACACAGGTTTTAGTTGTCATTTTGTGAAAATAGTGCCTGGTCAACTCTGCACGCAGTCTACACTCCCTAATAGCGCAATACCTTTGTGGCCTCAGTCATCAGGCATCTGCAAAAATTTGTTTTAACTTTGGAACATTCATGTATTCCAATATTCCTTTATATCTTTCATTACCTCTAGAAGGCTGCTGGACTTTCAATTGAGATAATATCATGGTGATATATTCTTAATATTAAGTTCTAGCGACTGTTGTGTTGCAATCCGGCACTATTGCCATGAAATCTTGTGATTTGATGTGGAACAATCATATCATGCTAGATTCAGTTCATTTCCCCGTCATGTAGAGTAGCCATAAATGGTGATATGAAGTTCCTAGAATGACCTCATCTTTTGTTAAAAAAAATAAAAAAAAAAAAATAATATTTTAGGTGTCGTTTTGAATTAGGTGCTTTTTAAGTGCTTTTGATAAGGCAATGTGGGACTGTGAGTAACACACTTCAAAGTGGGTGAGATTTTTGAACTCATAAAATTCAAAGAATGTAAATATAAAAATAAAAATTAAATGGATTGAGGTCTTTAAACCAGTTGAATTGAGCATTATCTTCTTCTTCTTTTTAATGATTAAATAAATTACTTATGACAAAATCAGACCATATGAGCTGTTCAAGTGGTCTAAGAAATTGTATGATCATACTCCAACTTTAATTATAATGGTTTCTTGGCTGGGATATAATGAGTATAGGATTTGTTAAAAGTGGGTTCAATTCATTTTTGGGTTAGAGAATGATGTGCTTCTGTTTGTAAACTACATCTGGACTCTTACCAATCTAACTACTATATAACAAGCGGTTCCCATCTAGCCTAGCTTATTATGTAAGGCATACATTTATAGAAATAATATACCAAGCCTAGAGCTCAGTTGGACTAGCTGGACATATGATTGTCATCCCTATAAATCATCATAAAATTCATATGTTGTGACCTAATTAATGTAGAAGATGAATTGATTTTATTTTGAAAAAACAGAATATTCATTAACCTATATTGATGTTGACCTTTAAGGTTGTGTTCTTGCTTAAGGAAGGCTCTGTTTTCTACTCTCCTCCATTAGTCAAACCCTTTGCATTAAATTGTATGTACTTTCATTAACTCTGTTCCAGCTAATCAAACCTAAACTTGTGTTCTTAGTTTCACTTGACCTTTAAGGTTGTGTTCTTGCTTAAGGAAGGCTCTGTTTTCTACTCTCCTCCTTTAGTCAAACCCTTTGCATTAAATTGTATGTACTTTCATTAACTCTGTTCCAGCTAATCAAACCTAAACTTGTGTTCTTAGTTTCACTTGACCTTTCGGCCAAGATCTGGAGTTCTTAGTTTCACTACCTGATATTTAAGTCAGGAAGTGAAAAGCTCTGTTTTCACACTTCTAACTTCTCCTTATTCTTATATGTAAGTGTGCATCGAAACTTGTTGTAATGAAATCAGTATTGTTATATTCACAATGGTGTTTATAGTTGGATTTCTTTTAATTTAATGAACCTTGAATATATATATATATTTTTATTTATTATGGAGAAGGAAGGAGTGCGTCCGCCCATTTGCACCGGAAATGGAGCATGTGTGCGGTAGGCCTTTAGGACTACGATTTGATCAGAGAACCGGAGATCTTTATATTGCTGATGCCTACTTTGGCCTTCAAGTGGTAGGACCTGCTGGAGGTTTGGCTACACAACTAGTGACAGAAGTCGAAGGCCAGCCCTTACGCTTCACCAATGATATGGACATTGACGAGCAAGAAGATGTGATTTACTTCACAGACACAAGCACAAACTTCCATAGAAGGTAATTCACAGGGAAGAAAAGCTTTCCTTCTTTACAATGAAATATACCAGTAAGTTTCTGATTGAAAGTAACTTTTCGGGTAAGAATTTAAATTTCTTTACAGGCTAATACAATTGGCTCTTGATGGAGAAAAAGTATGAGGATGCATATTTTTGTTAACCTTCCAAATGCCCTTTTGAATCCCCCTTGCACGTTACTGTGTTCAAGGAATTTTATCATTGCAAACCTTTCTGAAGAAAAATATATTGTCATTGCTCCTACTTTTCAAGAGAGATTAAAAGGGCCATATTAGAGGTTTAATGGAATTACTAATGCCGAGTTTATATGCCACCGTTATCATCTTTGCTTAGATTATTAAGTAATATCTTAGAGCATCTGAATTAATTTTCCTTAAATTGCTTCAATCAATGCCTAATATGCTCTAATTTGTCTTATCTTATGCAGGGAATTCATGTCATCACTTTTGAGCGGCGACAAAACAGGCAGGTTGATGAAATATGACAAATCAAGCAAAGGAGTAACGATCTTACTAAGGGGGCTTGCTTTTGCCAATGGTGTGGCCTTGAGCAAAGACCGGTCCTTCGTGCTAGTAGCCGAAACCACTAGTTGCAGGATCATAAGACTTTGGGTGCAAGGCCCTAACGCAGGACAAATTGATACATTTGCTGAGCTACCTGGTTTTCCAGACAATATTAGAAGGAATTCAAGGGGGGAGTTTTGGGTGGCTTTGCATGCCAAGAGAGGCATTTTGGCAAACTGGGTACTGTCTAATTCATGGGCTGGTGAGAAACTATTAGAGGTTTCACTTAGCTTCAAGCAGCTGCACTACCTCTTAGTAGGAAAGAGGGCCCATGCAGCTGCAATAAAGTTAAGTGGGGAAGGAGAAGTTTTGGAGGTCTTAGAAGATAGTGGAGGAAAGAGTTTGAGGTTTTTGAGTGAAGTAGAGGAGAAAAACGGAAAGTTGTGGATTGGGTCAGTGATTATGCCTTTTATTGGCATTTATAATTTGTACTAAAACATCTACTTGATATGATGGTCTGGAATTTCTTGCTTTCCTTTTTTCTTTTCTTTTTTTCATTTATAATTTGTACTAAAACATCTACTTGATACGATGGTCTGGCATTTCTTGCTTTGCTTTTTTCTTTTTTTCTTTTTTCTTTTTTTTTTTTTTATTTTTTTTTCCTGGTGGTGGGCACATAAGTAGGGTGCATAAGTTTCTATCTGTATATATTTTCTCCTGAATATTTATGGCTTGATTACAAACTTGTTTGAATTGCAATATTCTTTAGAGGGGGGAAGGAAAAAGAAGAAGAAAACGCATGATATTGATCAGTGGTTTGCTGGGCACAAACCTGCATTCCATGGCACGTCAATCTAAATTAGTTCATAGGTTAAACATATTAAGTAAAATTATAATTAATAAAAAGAATGAAAAAAATAATAATTCATGTGGCCGATCCTATTCCTAGAGAAATTATAATTAATAAAAAGAATGAAAAAAATAATAATTCATGTGGCTGATTCTATTCCTAGAGAAATAATGTAAGGATGATGACGACGTCATCGTATTCTTTTAATTTTTTTCAATGTACTCAATTAATATTTTCAATTTAATACTCCAATTTGTTAGAGATGGATCAAACCCCACCAAATTCAATATACTTTTAAGAATCATCTTGTCATACATTAAAAATTATACTTGTAGAATATGCCTAAGTACCTAAGTTTATGTAACATTTAGAAACGCCAAAACAAGTAGGCCCTGATAACATGTACTCCCTCCGTTTTATATTAATAGTTCATTATTTTATTTTTACATGTCCCAAATTAGTTGTCCTCTTTGAAAAATCGAAATATTTTTCCTTTATATTTCTACCATTATCTTTTATTTTTTTAAAAAAATTTAAATTTTGTAACTATATGTATTTAAATTAAAAAAAATAATTTAATAATTTTAAAAGAGAATAATGCATTAATTATATATTCATTATAAATGAATGTGGGACAGAGATGATACAAACCAAGAGGCAATTAATTTTGAGCAAGTTGACTAGGAGATCATACGGAGAAACTTCTTTTTTTTTTTTTTTGTCTTTTTCCATTTGGTTTTTGGACAATTGATTTGGACATTCAAATTGTATAACAAGTTCAAACCAAGAGGCAAGGATAGACGAATTGTAATGAAATTGAAGGGTTGTAAAGACTAGTCACTAGATTCCAAAAGTTTGCTGACTACTCCGTATATATGTAGAGTTGAATTGTAGGTTAGTAGGCTGTGCTTTTCCAAAGAACTAACTCGTCCCACATCGGCTAAAAACTAAAAGACTGTACACTTGATATATGTTTCGTTTACAGCTGACTTGTGTCCCTTCGGGGACATCCGATAAAATTGGAACTTTACAGAGAAGATTAGCATGGCCCCTGCGCAAGGATGACACGCACAAATCGAGAAATGGTTCAAAATTTTTTTTGACATTTTTATCCCTTCTTCGACATCTGCTTTTACAAAAACGCCCTCCTAATTAATCAGTTTCCCACAGTACCCATGGCTTTCTTCCACGTGTCTATTCAAAGCCCACCAGAAGCTTACCGTGTACCTTCCCTCTGCAACTCCAACTTCCTCTTTCATCTCTCTCTCTCTCTCTATATATATATACTCCATCAATTATTGTTCTGGTGACTGTTGAGGGCAACAACTCGAAACCAAGGTTAGTTGTCTCTTCCCTTTTCACTCTCTATTAGGTTCTCTTCATGGCTGTGGCTTACACACAATTATATAATCGTAGGTCTAGATGTACATGGATATCTGTGCTTGATTTTGTTTCTTCTTCTGCTGTTGTTATAGTTAGCATTTTGAGGTAAGGGTTGTTCTAAGTTGTAATTCGGAACCAGTTTTTGCTTCAATGGATTTTTTGGCTTCTCTTGTAGTAGTAGGCTAGTAGCATCACTAATTGTGCTTCTCGTGCCAATTTTTTGTTCCATATTTTCTTCGGAATTCATTAGATTCTTATTTTCGGTGAATGAATTCATTAGTTTTTTTTTTTTTTTTTTCTGTTCATGTACTTGTACTTTTGTCCCTTAATTGGTTTCTTCAATTCATGATTCATCACAAATTGAAATGCAAACAAAAACAGTAGTATTTGCTTAATTCCTAAAATATTTAGGATGCCTTTCCTCACAATAAAAACTAGGCTATCAAACCCTAATTATATTAGTAAAACAGATTTTCTGTATGACTATTGCACCCTTTGGGTTTGGCATGTGAGAATGGGTTTGGGCTGGGTTTGATCATAGCGTCGAGCCAACTCAATATAATCCTTGATTTCCTAAAGATCACTAAGCTCCAGGTCAAGATATGTTGGCCTACTGCTCTACAATCCATGTGTTTTGGCTGGTCTATCCTTCAAACCTAACTAGAAGTATGCAATATTAAGTCTTAACCACTCAAATTCAATTCTCTCTTTCAAAGTATCAGCTGTAACCAATTACAGTTAATATTTTTAAGCTTTCTTATTTAAATTTAGTTTCTTCTACATTCTTTAGAAATTAATTTGAATTATTTATCATAATTGAACTCCTTCCATGTTTATAAGGCCCAAATACATGTCAAAATAACTCTTTCATGGAGGCTAGAGTGGGTGGGGGCTCTTCTTGGGCATGGCAGAGAAGTGTTGTAAAAGGAGGCCATGTGGAGAGTTGCGAGAGGAGATCAATAGGTTAATATCCGAAAAGACTAATGGCTGCTTGAATCCACTAACTTCAGACTAACCGCATCCTATACCTCTACATGTTCTAGGCAAGAAGTGTGTGAGTGTGAGAGCTGGGTTAATCCTCATGTACCAAAACATGTATGGAACATTAATAAGACTGATCACCAGGCCTGGGCTTACTTTATTCCCAACCAAATCAACAACATATAGGCTGCCAAAGTTTGGAAGCTCAGCCAATGGGACTAAGAAGGATATTTGTTTCCTGTGATATCACCACTAATGTCATTGGTGGAGTCCATGCTCCCACTGAAATGATCTGTCTGACTATCGATCTCTAATTTATTACATAAAAATTTCAGGTAGTAGACTATTAGTCTATCTACTAGTTTGATTTAGTTGCACACATTAAAGATTTTTTTGAAAAAGTCCCACTTCATTGTGAAATTTAGTATATATATATCAATATCAACAATTTAAATCAACATTTAAATATATTGAAAGCAGTATCACATAATTCAATTGAGCACTTCAAGGTTTTCAGAAGCATTATCACATGATTTGGTTGAACACTTGGAAGGTTTATATAAAAAAAAAATCTAAATCATTAGAAAAAAGAAAAATGCACTGAATGGAGAGGTTAAAGAAGGCCACCCTGGTTTGTGGGGGGTCTTGAAGTATTTACTTGTGAGAGAGAGATAGGGGGGGGAGGGGACAGCCTAATTTGAGTTCTCTCAAGTCTTAAAAGAGAGAACCCAAATTCACTTATTTCCTGTTCAATCATCTTCAAGCTAAACCATGAACTCAAAGTTCATCTTGACTGCAACAGGTCTTGCATTGTCTCCATCATCTTGGCTTTGAATATAACCCATGTGCTCACACCACCTCAGATACCAGGGTCCCATGACCACATCCACACCGCAGACACAATCCATGTAGCCGTGTCCGTGTCCCGTATCCGTTTTCGTGCTTCTTAGTCTATATGTAATGGAATATCGATGAACTTGTTAGTCAAATTAAAATATTCTCCCGTCCAACCAATATAACTTCATTTTGAGAAGTTCCATATAGTCAAATCCATTGAAATTCAATGCGTCCTGATACTTGAGCATAAGAATGTGAAGAAGTGCTCATGATAGCAAAATAAGATATCCTCATGCAAGTTATTTTGAGATCCTGATGTTGCTTTTAAAGTCATGCAAGTTATTTTGATACTATTACAAAATAAGCAATTTCTGTATTCACAATGATGTTAATGGTTGGATTTCTTTTAATCTAATGACCCTTAATTTTATTAATTTATTTTTATTTTTATTTTTTATGGAGAGGGAAGGAGTGTATCAGCCCATTTTCACCGGAAATGGAGCATGTATGCAGTACGCCTTTAGGACTACGATTTGATCAGAGAACTGGAGATCTTTATATTGCTGATGCCTACTTGGGCCTTCAAGTAGTAGGACCTACTGGAGGTTTGGCTACTCAACCAGTGACAGAAGTTGAAGGCCAGCCCTTACGGCTCACCAACGATATGGACATTTGATGAGCAATACTTCACAGACACGAGCACAAGCTTTCATGTGTGAGCTCACAGAGAATCAAAGCTTTCCTTCTTTACAATGAAATTTACCAGTAAGGTTATTATGGTTGAAAGTAACTTTTCGGGTAAGAATTTTAATCTCTTTACAGGCTAATTCAAACGGCTTTTGAAGGAGAAAAAAGTATGAGGATGCAAATTTTTGCTAGCACATGAATATTTACAATTGTTGATCTTCCAAATGCCCAATAAGGCTTTGTTTGGAATTTCTAGGAGGTCTGAAAACATAGATCATTAGCATGGGGACTCTAGAGTTACAGATTCAAGGAATATTAGCATTGACAGAATGATTAAGATTACAAAGTGCCCTATTAGAGGTTAAAAGGAATTTGTAATGCTGTGTTTACTTGCCACTATTTTCATCTCCATTTAGATTAAGTAATTTTCTCAAGTTGCTTCCAGCCGCTGTCATACAAAATAAAAGCCAACTATTGGCAATGCTAATATGCTCTAATTGTCATTTCTTTAACAGGCAATTCATGGCGGCGACCAAACAAAGGCAAGTTGATGAAATATGAAAAATCAAGCAAAGAAGTAAAGATTTCACTTTTGCCAATGGTGTGGCCTTGAGCAAAGACCGATCCTTTGTGCTAGTAGCCGAAACCAATACTTGCAGGAAGTAGAGGAGAAAAATGGGAAAATGTGGCTTGGGTCAGTGGTTATGCCTTTTATTGGCATTTATAATTTGTACTAAAAGATCTACCTGATCTGTTGGTCTGGCATTTCCTGCTTTCCTCTTCTTTTTCTGTTTTTTTTTTTTCACCTGAAGCACAAGTTTCCATCTGTATGTATTTTCTCCTTAATATTTTTAGGTTGATTACAAACTTGTTTGAATTATAAAATTGCATGTGTCACTCATATTCTTTCAGCTGCTTCGCTCAAGGCAAAAAATAAAAAATAAAAATTCCTCATGAGGTTGATAAGTGGTTTGCTCTTTGCTGGACACAAACCTTCAACAATCACCAGTGGCTAATTCAAGTCATGAAACTGTGAAATGAATTTAGGTGGTCAGAAAAAACAAGCCAGCATTGATCAACTTGTTTGACCAAACTTCACATATAAAGTGCACTCCTGTTGTGATATGGGAAATTCTCCTCAGTTTGTTTCACCTGTACCTTTGTAATAACAACACTCGAACTTCCAAAACCCAATTCCTACTTTCAATTGTAGGATTAGGGATGCTAATCCAATTAGTTGGGAAAAAGCTTTTCTTAAATTTGTAATACTAACACTTTTTACTTTCTTGCATAAAGAGGTCTACAGACCATGAACTGGAAGTGACTTGAGCCTTTCATAAACTTTAAATTCTAGTCATAAATTCTAATATCCGTAAACTCCTAATTCCTTAAACAGTATAATGTGTATGTATAATGTAATTAATATTTTAATACGGATGTTATATTGAAAATAATCACTCATTATTCAGATATAAATAAGGGTATATTTGTGCTATGTTCTTGAACAAGTCAAATCAGATTAAATGGATTGAGTTTGTAAATTCAAATAAGAATTTTTTGTTTCGAAGAATTAATTAAATTGACACGATTATGATATAAATATGATTAACATCAATCTAAATAAGTTAATTTGGTGTTAGCATATTGATTCAAATTTCGTCGTGACAACTTGATAGAAGAGTCACTATCACTTCATTCAAAATATGTTATTCTTTATATTTTACGATTCTCTTATTTTCTTTCGTGTATATAAAATATGTGGTTAATATGTATTCAAATTGAATACACTTCTTTGTTAATGTTACAATGTACTTATAATACAATGACAATGTGACTTGTACTAAGTTTATATAATATTTAGAAAGTTCAAATATTTAGTTCGGACAATTTATTATTTTTATTTTCCTTTTTTCCAATTCGTTTTGGACAATTGATTTGCGCATGCGTATAACAAGATGTTCAAACTGGGATGCTAGAGATGGAAAAGAGTTACTTATAATGAAATTGAACAGTTTTATAGGAATATAATATGCTTATATTTCTAAGGTTTGCAGGCTATTTGTGTAGAGTTGAATTGCATGTTAGTAGGCTGTGTAAAGCACGTTTTCCAAAGAACCAACTCGTCCCACATCGGCTAAAAAGTAAAAGCTGTACACTTCATATATGTTTCGTTTACAAATGACTCGTGTCCCTTCGGGGACATCCGATAAAATTGGAACGATACAGAGAAGATTAGCATGGCCCTTGCGCAAGGATGACACGCACAAATCGAGAAATCGTCCAACATTTTTTTGACCTTTTTGCCCCAATATTCGGCATGTGCTTTTACAAAAACACCCTCTTAATTCGTCAGTTTCCCAAACTACCCCTAACTTTCTTCCACGTGTCTTTCCATCCACTTTGAGACTTACCAGAATATTACCGTGGGGCTCCCTTCCTCTTTCATCTCTGCATTATATATAACCCATTTATATATACGCCATCAATTATTGTTCTGGTGACTGTTGAAGGCAGCAACTTTAAAATCTCGAAGCGCACATGGATATCTATGCTTGATATGGCTTCCCTTTCTGCTGTTGCTATTGCAAGCATTTTGGGGGTAAGAGTTCGTGAGTTCGTTCTAAGTTTCAATTCAGAACCAGTTTTTGCTTCAATAATATTTTTGGTTTCTCTTGCCATTACCAATTCTTTGTTCTAATTGTTTTTATTGTTTTTCTGGAATTCATTGGTTTCTTTGCTTCCCCTTTCTTTTTAGTTGTGATTTTTTTGTGTGTTTATATGTTTCTATCTGTTCATGTATCTTTGTCCGTCAATTGGTTTATTCAATTCATCACAAATATAAATGCCGTATTTGCTTTATTTCTATAATATTTTGGATACAATTCTTCACAATAGAAGCTAGGCTATCAAACCCTAATTATATTGGTATTACAAATGTTACCTCCTATTTTTCTTCTTTATCCATTGCTTCATTCTTTGTTCCTCATATAACACTTCATTTTTCATGTTGGGTCTCAAATTCTAAAAGAAACTTCCTTTTCTTTTTATTCTGTTCATTTTTAACCAATTAACTGGATCAGACTGAATCAACCCAAGATTAATCATGGTAGAGCTAGTTGCTTCTTTGTTTTATTTTGGGTGAGATATCATGGACCTTATGTTTTTTCCATCTTGTTTTGGGTCGTCAACTGAACACAGCCATCCCAAATTGATTAATGCCAAGCACGAAAACACGGATTTCAGTTAATGGCCGTGGTTAAGTCAGAACACAGTCTACCACTCCCTAATATCACAATATTCTTGTGGCCTCGATCATCAGGCAGATGCAAAATTTGCTTCAACTTTGGTACATATATTCATGTATTATGATATTCCTGTATACTATCTTTCGGTACAGAAGTAAGTTGGAAATTAAATTCAAATGATCTAACCTACCAATTGAGTTAGAGATGCCATTTGGGATCATTTATTGTTCATTGAAAATTTAAGCATGAAGGTGAACATTGTAAGCTTTATTACTCGTGCATTGGTGTTATAGGACTACTGGACTTGCAATTGAGAGAATATCATGGTGGTTTATTCTTAATATTAACTTCTAGTGACTGTTATGTTGCAATCTGGCACTATTGCCATGAGATCTTGTGATTTTTGTATGATTATTTATTCTGAATTGTTGATCTAACCATTATTTGTGCACGAATTCTCTTGTTTAGGATTGTCATTTTTTAAGATTATAATTTCGACCAACACATATAGTCTTGATAAATAATTTGAGACCATAAAGTTCCACTAGATGCGACAATTTGCTAATGTCACCTTATATGGATAATGTATGTTTTGTGGCAGTCTTCTTAATCAAACAGTTTTTCTGCCTTTTAGTGAGAGACCCATGATGTATAATGTTAGATAACATATATCAATATGTGTCTTCTGGCGTGTGAGTATTATTGTGGTAACAGTGAAGGTACGTATATAATTCGTGATCGGAGGCATATATTAAATATGCTTGTCTACCAGTGATTTGTAAGAACACAAGATGCACTTCATGTTCATGCATGCTTTAACATTTCTGTTTTAATGAAGTTTATGTTTGTGCGCATGTGCTTGTGTTTGCAGGCATGTGCACAGTTGTTGGCACTCAAATTGGATCAGTGATCGATTTCTAGGTTTTGGGGAACTTAACCATGATATGGGTCAATTTTTTGGGGAAAAAAAAAAAAAAAACTCTCTTACAGCTTTTGCAACTAATCCATGAATTAAATTTGATGTGTAATAATCATATCATGATAGATACAGTTCATTTCCTTGTCACATAGAGTAGCCATGAACGGTGTATGAAGTTTATTTTATAGGGGGTGATTTTAGCGGGCATGTAGGCGGTGATCGAGTATGTTATACACGACTGCACAGGGGATGTGTAATAATCATATTCTTTTTTTTTTTTTTTTTTCTTCTTTTTACCTGAATGGTGTGCAAATTTCCATCCGTATATCTTTTCTCCTTAATAGTTTTAGGTTGATTACAAACTTGTTTGAATTATAAAATAAAAAATAAAAAATTCCTCATGAAGTTGATAAGTGGTTTGCTCTTTTTCTGGACACAACCTTCAACATTCATAAGTGGTTAATTCAAGTCATGAAACTGTGAAATGAATTTAGGTCGTTAAAAAAAAAAAAAGGCTGCATTGAGCAACTTGTTTGACCAAATTTAACATATAAAGTGCACTCCTGTTGTGTGATATAGGAAAACTTTCTGGTGGTTCTCCTCTGTTTGTTTCACCTTCACCCTTTTTTTTTTTTAAATTGGTACTTACCTACATATGTCTCTACCGAGATTCGAATCTCTAACCTTTCTATAAGAAATAAGATTCTAATACTGCTAAGCCACTAGCTTGTTGATATTTTTCACCTTCACCTCTGTAAAAACAACTCTCCAACTTCCAAAACCCAATTCCTACTTTCAATTGTAGGATTAGGGATGCTAATCCAATTAGTTGGGAAAAAGCTTTTCTTAAATTTGTAATACTATCTTGCATAAAGAGGTCTACAGACCATGAACTGGAAGTGACTGAAGCCTTGCATAAACTTTAAATTGTAATCATAAATTTTAATATCTATCCCTAAACTCCTAATTCCTTAAACAGTATAATGTGTATATATAATGTAATTAATATTTTAGCATGGATGTTATATAGAAAATGATCACTTACCAACATGTGAGTGGCTTAGCTGTACCATCAGGCTCCCACTTTTCAAAGAGAGGTCGGGATTTGAGCCTCGGTGGAGGTATGTGTGTATGAGTACCAATTAAAAAAAAATAAAATTTGATCACTCATTATTCAGATACTAAAAGGTATACTTGTGCTATGTTCTTGAACAGTCAAATTAAATGGATTGAGTTCGCAAATTCAAATAAGAATTTTTTGTTTTGAAGAATTAATTAAAGTAGGAAAATGATATAATGACCGAACCAAACAACTGAATAAAAAGTCGAACCTAACGTGGCTAGGCCACGTATTTTCTAAAAGTATAAATGTCTTCGTTTCTCTCTCTTTTCTCCCTCTTTCTCCATTTTTCTGGTTCTTGATTCTTCCTCTCTCCACGCTATCTCTTCTCTCTATCCGTCTCTTTTTTATTTTCAAAATTGAAGAGAAAAATAAAAATAAAATTCCATCTCGTATTGCCTCTTAAAATCAAGGGTTGAATCCATGGATGATATATAACTCTATCATTTGAGCCAAAACGAAACAAATGATTATGATAGCTTCACTTTCAACCAATTTAAAGATGGAACAATATGTATGTTGTAAAACACTTTGCAATTCAAGTATGGCAAAACTGAAATATAATTTCTTTTCTGTATCTTTTAGATTACATATTTGCCAATAAAGTCTGCATAATTAAAAAAAAAAAAAAAAAGTCTATCACCATCAAAGCTTTGAGAAGATTCACCCGTTTCTCTTGATTTTCATTTTGTAAAAGATTAATGTCTATTGTGACGGCAACTCTTCTGAATATTTTTTTCATTTGAAAGATCTCCTTGGAACCCAAGGTAAAGATGCCTATGAAGAGAATATTATGGAGACTTGAACAAAAAAGTGAGAATGAGGACTTGAAGAGAGGAGAGAGAGAAATGGTGAGGAAACGAGAAAGAGAGAAACAGTCGACGAAGAGAGAGAAAGAAATGTTTAGGAAACAATCTAACGTGGCTTAGCCACGTAAGATTCAATCATTCTTTTTACAGAAACCTTCGATTTTTCTATCACTTCTCGTTAAAGTAACACGATTATGATATAAATTTAATTAACATTAATTTAAATAAAGTTAATTTGGTGTTAACATATTGATTCAAATCTTGTTGTGGCAACTTAGTAGAAAGGTCACTATCACTTCATTCAAAATATGTTATTTTTTATATTCTACGATTCTCTTATTTTCTTTCGTGTATATAAAATATGTGATTAATATATATTCAAATTGAATACACTTCTTTGTTAATGTTAATAATGTACTTACAATACAAGGACAATGTGACTTGTACTAAGTTTATATAATATTTAGAAAGTTCAAATATTTAGTTCGGACAATTTATTATTTTTATTTTCCTTTTTTCTAATTCGTTTTGGACAATTGATTTGCGCATGCGTATAACAAGATGTTCAAACTGGGATGCTAGAGATGGAAAAGAGTTACTTATAATGAAATTGAACACTTTTATAGGAATATAATATGCTTATATTTCTAAGGTTTGCTGGCTATTTGTGTAGAGTTGAATTGTAGGTTAGTAGGCTGTGTAAAGCACGTTTTCCAAAGAACCAACTCGTCCCACATCGGCTAAAAAGTAAAAGGCTGTACACTTGATATATGTTTCGTTTACAATTGACTCGTGTCCCTTCGGGGACATCCGATAAAATTGGAACGATACAGAGAAGATTAGCATGGCCCCTGCGCAAGGATGACACGCACAAATCGAGAAATGGTCCAAATTTTTTTTGACCTTTTTGCCCAATATTCGGCATGTGCTTTTACAAAAATACCTTTTTAATTCGTCAGTTTCCCAAACTACCCCTGCCTTTCTTCCACGTGTCTTTTTATCCGCTTTGAGACTCACCAGAAGATGATTACCGTGGAGCTCCCTTCCTCGTTCATCTCTGCGTTATATATATGGGCTATATAACCCATTTATATTTACACCATCAATTATTGTTCTGGTGACTGTTGAAGGCAGAAACTCTAAAATCTCGAACCGTACATGGATATCTGTGCGTTATATGGCTTCCTTTTCTGCTATTGTTATTGCAAGCATTTTGGGGGTAAGTGTGAGTTCGTTCTAAGTTTCAATTCAGAACCAGTTTTTGTTTCATTAATATTTTTGGTTTCTCTTGCCATTACCAATTCTTTGTTCTAATTGTTTTTTTTGGAATTCATTAGTTTCTTTGCTTCAATAAAATGAATAGTAAAATGAAATGCAAAATAAAATGGTGGGAGAGAGAGACACGGTGGAAGAAGGAAAGAAAAGAATGAAATGTGTGGCTAAAATGAAATAAGCCTATTTTATATACTAAAGTCAAATTGTGATCTCATCTCCCACTTAAACGCTTAAAACAGTCCATTTAAATCCGGCCAAATATTTGCAAATGACACAACGCAGTGCAAAACAGATATCCCCAGCATATTCAAAAAGGACAGTGATGTCGAGAAATTTTTCGAACACAAAAATTCATCGCAGGCTCACCCTGCACCTCTCGACATGAAAATCGAAAATGACTAAAATGAAAATGAGTTTCTAAGGGTTTTAAACTTGAAGAAACACAACTCTCGGAATATTGTGACACACATTCCCATGCACAACTAAACTCAAAAAAAAAATGTCCGAAAAATATTAATAACATATGAGACTTACATTAAAGGACACTTCTAACAACGTAACAAGAAAATTAAAGATATTAAATATAATATATATTTATATATATATATTGTAAAGATACGTACATAATCGAAGCAGATTCATCACTAAATCCGCACATATCCCAAACCTATTTTTAATTTTCAAATAATTTATCATACCCGTCTCCAAACCCATTTAGGGAGGTGAGAAGGAAACTATCCCAAAGCCGTTAAAACCTGTCCTAAATTTTTTTGAAACCTATTAATGGTACATATTTAAGGTATTAATTGTGATTCTATGTAGAAAAATTAAAACCATCCCTCCAATTTTTATAATAAATCATTGTAGTCTTGCTTTTACAAAATCAAAAATATAGTAAAAATGTATAAGTAATTATTATAATAATCGGTACAACATATAAACTACTCTATTTGTATGTATATATAATATAATATTATTTGTTATGAATTAAAAAAAAAAAACAGAATATTAACATTCCACAGTGTTCTTTCAATTTTTATATTAAAAAAGCGTTGAAATTTTTTTTTTGCGTTCAGGCTCACCGGAAGCTCTGAAGCTTACCGTGGAGCTCCCTTTCTCTCACACATCTTCGTTCCCCCACCAATTTGTAGTCTCTTTCTCTTCCCCGTGCTCTCTCTCTCTATATTACTCCTTCAATTATTGTTCTGGTGACCGTTGAGGGCAACAACTCGAAACCAAGGTTAGTTGTCTCTTCCCTTTTCAAACTCTATTTGGATCATCTCTCCATGGCTATGGCGCGCACACAGTTATCTAAGCGTTGGTCTATGTATGTACATGGGTATCTGTGCTTGATTTGGCTTCATTTTATGCTGTTGTAATCGTTAGCAATTTGGGGTAAGGGTTTGTTCCTTTTTTTCGTTCTAAGTTTCAATTCCATAACCAGTTTTTGCTTCAGTAGATGCTTTGGCTTCCCTTGGAGTAGTAGCATCACTTATTGTGGTTCTCATGCCATTAACAATTCTTTTTTTCTTTGTTGGGAAATCATTCGTTTCTTTGTTTCCCCTTTCCTAGTATTTGTGAATTTTTGTGTGTTTCTTTGTATCTATCTGTTCATGTACTTGTATTTTTGTCCATTAAGTGGTTAATTTATCACAAATTTAAATGCCAATAAAGTATTTACTTAATTTCTATAAAATTTAGGTTGGCTTTCCTCACAATAGAAGGTAGGCTATCAAACCCTAATTATATTAGTAAAAAAGAAGTTACCATTGCCATCCTATTTTTCTTCTTCATCTATTGCTTCAATCTTTGTTAGTCAGATCACACTTCCTTGAATTTTCATGCTCGGTCTCAATTTCTGTCGAAAATTTCTTTTATTTTTATTCTTTTCATTTTTATCCAAATAACTGGATCAGACTGATACAACACAAAATTTATCATGGTTGAGTTAGTTGTTTTTTTCTTTTTCCTATTCCCGGGTGCGATATCATGGAAATTATTTTTTTTCCATCCTGTTTTGGGTTGACAGTGAACCCAACAGTCCCAAACTGATTAATGCCAAGCACGAAAACACAGGTTTTAGTTGTCATTTTGTGAAAATAGTGCCTGGTCAACTCTGCACGCAGTCTACACTCCCTAATAGCGCAATACCTTTGTGGCCTCAGTCATCAGGCATCTGCAAAATTTGTTTTAACTTTGGAACATTCATGTATTCCAATATTCCTTTATATCTTTCATTACCTCTAGAAGGCTGCTGGACTTTCAATTGAGATAATATCATGGTGATATATTCTTAATATTAAGTTCTAGCGACTGTTGTGTTGCAATCCAGCACTATTGCCAAGAAATCTTGTGATTTTTTTTTTTAATGATTATTTATTCGGAATTGTTGATCTAACCATTATTTGTGCACATATTCTCCAGTTTAAGATTATAATATCAACCAATGCATATAGTCTTGATAAATAATTTGAGAATTGAGACCATAAATTTCCTCCAGATGTACTTGATGCAACAATTTGCTAATGTCATCTGACATGGATAATGTATGTTTTGTGGCAGTCTTCTTAATCTATGATACTGGTTCACTATTCACTTTATAATTTCCACATATAAAAATTATTATTATTATTATTTTTAAAAAAAACTTAATTAGTAATGACCATGTTTAAAGTATTCAGAAAACAAACTGTTAGGGATTGAATAAATTGCTCTGTGATAGGCTACTTGTTAAGAGTCTCTCTCTCTCACCCTCCCCCCCTCTTTGGTTATATTCTAAATTTTCTTTTGAAAATCCTTTCTGAGTACAGAATGTTGGAACTTAAGTAAGGTGACCATTGTGACTGTTAGAGATTTAAATAAACTTGGAGCATTCACGCTGCCGGTGTGCACTTGAATAATTTTGTCTGAAATTGTAATAACATCTAGTGATAGCAGCATTTTTACTACAGGATGAACTATTTTATTTCTTCTAGCATACATGCTGACACCCCTTACAGTTTTTTTGCCTTTTAGTGAGAAATTATTTTTCCCCGTGGAAATGGAAATGTTTAGCTTTGTGTTCTACATATGACATATAATGTTATGGTACATATATCAATGTGTGTTTCTCTTCTGGCTTGTAAGTGAGTATTAGGGATGGTAATTTGTCCCGATCCGACTAGGGTCGGGTTTGGGTTAGAAAAATTGAATTCGACTCGAGTTTGGGGTAGGTATGGGTTCGTGAATCTTCCTGCCCCTATTTTCTCACATATTTACATAAAATACCCTTGTTTTTATATATGCAATATGTGTGGGTAGGGTTTCACTTGTTCCATATAAATCTTTTTAGTCTCTCATCACTCTGCCACCTCCCCTACTACAATGGCGAAGTCCACCAACAACGACCTTCACCTTCCTTTCAAAGACATTAGAATCATTTGAAGAAATTTTGGCGAAATTTGTTACATTACAAAGTAGACATCCTAACCCTTCAAAGACATTCGAATCTCCCAACACGAGAGATTTGGACATTAAATATTTTGAGTATTAGAAGTTGTCTTGAGGACAGTTTGAGCTGAAATTAGATATTTGACATGAACACAAAAGGGTGGCTGCATTTCTAAATGCAACCAAGTTAAAAATTGTCTAGTCACATAAGCAACTAAAATATAAAATTTTCTGATAATGATAAAAACTTTAAGAAAATTCCATTTTGTGAATATTCCGCCCCTATTATGTCACATATATACATAAAATACCCTTGTATTTATATATGCATATATGTGTGGGTAGGGTTTCACTTGTTCCAGATAATCTTTTTAGTCTCTCATCATTCTGCCACCTCACCCCCTCCCCCGCTACAGTGGCAAAGTCCACCAACAATGACCTTCACCATCCCTTCTCCCGAAGGCATTCATCATCTCTTATGCTAAAATCTCTAACCATCTTGCCCTCGCTCTTCGTCAGATCATCCCTCCATGAAACTTTCCGATGCCTAGCAAGGTACGACACTGCTCCACAAAGTTTTCCAATCGGCAATTCCTCCTCTTCTTTTTTTCTGCCAAAAAGGGTTTCTTCTGTTCCTCATCTATTTTCCTCTATTTTTTGTTCATTTATTTTCAATTGGCAGTTCCTCATATAAATGCATATAATTATATGCAGATCTGTGTATTTGTCTCTCCGTATATGTGTGAAACTAGGGTTCGTTTCTGTGTAACGGTGCGGGATGGGGCGGAAAAGGGATAAGAATAAGAAACCTGTCTCGAGTTCGGGACAGGTATGGGGTAAATTTGACTAAACAGGGCGAGGTAGGGTTTAGGGAAACCCACCCTGTTGCCATCCCTAGTGAGTATTATTGTAGTAATAGTGAAGGCATGTAAATAATTCCTGAGCGGAATCTGTGTCGCATTTCAAACAAAACCTTGCAAGCGAATGTACATATGCGCCCGCACTCGCACATACATATACTTCACTAACACAGAAATGTTAAAGCATTCATGAAAGTGAAGTGCATGTTGTCTTCTTAGAAATCACTGGTAGACAAACATATTTCATATATGCCTCCTGGCTTATATTGAAGTAAATTCACGTGTATCACAGCTCTCTTTCTGTTGAAAAGAAATGCAAGCTCTATTCAGGGAAAAAAAAATGTAAGTTCTTATGACCTCATTATGTCACAGTTTGTGGAGAAAAAATTATTATGAAGATGTGAAACCAGATGACATTAATTACACCCATGTCTTTTCTTTATTCGTTTAACAAACTAGAACTCATTCAGATGCATCATGATAAGACCATCTCAATTAATGGAGATGTACATGAAAGGATTACAGGGTTAAAGCTGTTGTGTTTATGTGCATGGTTTTTTTCCCTGCAGAGGACAGCAATTCCCTTGTTGAAGTGGTCAATAAGGCTCAATTAAAGTGATCGTTTGGCTCATACTCCTTGGATAGATCAAGTCAAAGTCGTCTCACTTTGCATTCTTCCAAGTGGATTCACTATCATGGATTCATCCAATTACGTTGCAGTAGGGGAAGATAGAAACAGAAGTACTCATCTTGAAGATGCTCAATTAATTGCCTTGCCTGCAGGCACTGAAACTGACATGGAGATAGATGGCGATGAAGAAGAAGAGGAGGGAGAAGTTAACAGTGAAGACGGAGAGTTTGCTCTGAGATTTGAAGGTGACATGAATCCTTTTGATTTCACGGAAGATGATGCTTCTGGAGTCCAACCTTATCAGCGATTTGAACGCCTTGAATATGATACTTTCGCTGAAAAAAAACGGAAAGTACTTGATAGCCATTCGGAAGAGTTGGCGAAGAAGTCTAGGAAAGAGGATGTTTTTGGTGTAAGCTTTGATGAAATAATGGAAGCCATGAATTATGGCAATCGGCGAAAATCAAGGAAATCTAAGAAAAGGGGAAGACCAAGGGGAAATAAAAATAAATTTAGCCCTGAAGTCACAAGAATGCTTGGTGAGAGTACTCTTCATTATGCACATGGCCGTTATGCAGAGGCCATACGTGTATTGAATGAAGTTGTTCGTCTTGCACCCAACTTGCCTGACACATACCACACACTTGGCCTTGTCTATAATGCAGTTGGTGACAAGAAAAAAGCCTTCAGTTTCTATATGCTTGCGGCAGCAATGAAGCCAAAGGATTCACCTCTTTGGAAATTGCTTCTTACATGGTCCTTAGAGCAAGGAAACATTGCTCAGGCAAGGTACTGCCTTTCAAAAGCAATAATGGCCGATCCAGAAGATATTACTCTGAAATGTCATCTTGCAACGCTTTACATTGAGCTCGGAGATTATGAGAAAGCTGCTAAATTATATGATCAGATATCACAGCTCTGTCCTGGGAACGTTGAAGCACGCAAGGCAGCTGCAAGGCTGTTTCAAAGTTGCGGTCAGGTTGAACGTTCTATCGGCATTCTGGAGGACTATCTCAAACATCATACAACCGAAGCTGATTTAAGCATTGTTGAACTGCTGGCAGTGACATGCATGGAAAACAACGAATATGCCAAAGCTCTTCAGCATATTGAGCTTGCACACACTTACAGTTCTGGGAAGGAACTGCCATTGCAGCTAATGACTAAAGCAGGAATTTGCCACCTTCATCTTGGAAATTTGGAGAAGGCACAGGAATTTTTTGGAAAATTTCAGTTGGAGAATGCATGTGACCATGCCAATCTAATTACTGAAGTTGCAGACTCATTTAAGAGTCTTGCGCAATATGAAGTTGCACTGTCCTATTATCTGATGCTAGAAAAGCGTGTTGGTCATGACAATGGCATTTTACATTTGAAAATTGGTCAATGTCATTTATTCTTGAATGAAAGAGTACAGGCGATCCGATATTTCTACAAAGCTTTAGATAAACTTGAGGACAGTGTTGATGCTAGGTTAACTTTGGCGTCCCTTCTTCAAGAAGAAGGGAAAGAAGACGAAGCTGTTTCAGTGCTCTCTCCAACAAATGCAGAGTTGACATTAGACACAAATTGCACTCAAACAAAATTGTGGTGGCTGAATGAGAAAGTAAAGCTGAAGCTTGCAAACATTTATCGAGCAAAAGGGATGCTCGATGAATTTGTTGATGCACTATCCCCCTTGATTCATGATGTGATGATTAAAATACAGTTCAGACCAAGGAAAAAGCTCTCAAAAAATGTTCTCCTTGAAAGAGCCAAAGTACTGGATGATCATCAAACTGACAATTTATTTCGCGGATTTAAACCAACAGCTAGTGCATCAGACAGGTTGAAAGCAAGTAGAGCAAGAAGGATGCTTCAAAAGAAGTCTACTTTGAAGGAAGAAATGAAGGCTAAAGCATTAGCTGCTGGTTTGGAATGGCAAAGTGAAGATTCAGATGATGAGCCTCCTCTGCGAGCAGCACGAAGAAGAAAGTCTACACTTCCCCAACTCCTGAAAGATGAGGAGCATCATCAGCTCATTGTAGATTTGTGCAAAGCTTTAGCATCCTTGAGAAGATATGGGGAAGCATTAGATCTGATCAATCTCACTCTGCGATGGGTTTCAAACAAACTGTCTGTTGAGAGAAGGGATGAGCTTTTGGCTGTTGGGGCCCAAATGGCGTACCACATCATGGATCCCAAACACGGGTGCGATTTTGTAAGGAATATTATCCTTCAGCGTCCTTATAGCATTGCTGCTTGGAATTGTTTCTACAAAGTAATATCCAGCATGGATGTTCATCAGTCTAAATATTCTAGATTCTTGCATAGAATGCGAGAAAAGCACAGAGATTGTGTGCCACCCATAATTATCTCTGGACATCAGTTCACCATGATCAGCCAGCATCAAGCAGCTGCAAGAGAGTACTTAGAAGCTTTAAAGCTTTTGCCAGATAGTCCATTGATCAATCTGTGTGTGGGAGCTTCTTTAATCAATTTAGCCCTTGATATTAGACTTCAGAACAAACATCAGTGTCTGGTACAAGGCTTAGCATTCCTATACAACAATCTAAGGCTTTGTGGGAACAGTCAGGAAGCCTTGTATAATATAGCCCGGGCTTGCCATCATGTTGGACTTGTTTCTCTTGCAGCTTCATTTTATGAAAAGGTGCTTACCACTAAACAGAAGGATTATCCCATTCCCAAGCTTCCTTATGAGAATCCAGATCTTACAGAAAACCAGAAGCCTGGTTACTGCAACATTCAGCGAGAAGCAGCTTATAATTTGCACCTGATCTACAAAAGAAGTGGGGCATTTGATCTTGCTAGACAGGTCTTGAGAGACTACTGCACTCTATGAAATTATGTCTTGGATAATAACAGCTAATCTTATGCAAAAAATGTGTTTAATTTATTTATATTCATTTTTTTTTTTTAGTTTGGTAAATATTCACACACTCCCGGAAATGCCCACCATGCCACCCAAAACCCTCACCTCCTTTTCGAGGGAGGAGAAATTATACCAGGGGCAGTATATTCATTTTTTAATTCACTTTTCTTTATATGATCTTTTATTTTCATGTCTGTGATGCATTATAATTAATGGATTCTTTTTGGGGCATAACTTATCATTTCTGTTTGCCTAATTACTTTGTAGGAGTTATAACCTGCTACCATGGTAGAATAACTTGGGTGAATCCTTAAAATAATGAATCAGTAAAGAAAATGATTTTGAGGGCTAATTGAATGCTCTACTTTTGTGTGCAATAATTTGTTGCTTTTGTTTTTGCTTTTGTGTTTTACTGAGGTTCTAGAATGTCACTGTCAGCTAACAAGTGTTCTGAACTAATTTGAATATGTTAAGAGGAAAATTTTTTTCTTCGGAAGATGCAAATCTTTTGTGAGATTCACATTAACTAACCGTATCTCAACTGTGTCAATTAGAAGGTATTGTGTAGCAAGAGTTCTCTAGTTCTACTATAAATTCACAAAACGATATCAAAATTTTAAAGATTTAAGAGACAGAGTCATCATATGATGACACTGCAAGAGCAAGAATTTGGAGGGATGAGCTTAGGTTTGTTGGCACTGGAAATGATTCACTGTGACGGTCAATGCCTGGGTGGCATGCTGATAGCTTGGAGGCATGGTGCTGTTAGCAACAGGCTCTCTTAGTTGATGCGGTTGGCACTCTTGTTCATCAGTCCATGGCTCAGGTTGGATTTGTTTGCTTTCTCTCTCTAGAATTGTTGGTGTATTGTTCTGTTTTGCATCTCTCTGATTCATACTCAAAAACCCAACTCTCCTCTCTCATTTATTGTCTCTTTTGAATTTCTGGTTGTTTTTAATTGTGTATTTATTTCTCATTCTCTCACTGTTCTCTCTCTAGATTGTTACTAAGGAGTGCTAGACATCATAGAATTTTATTCAGTATACCCATCACAAAAATTTATTGTGGATCAATTTGACCTTATCACACCATATAAATTTTATAGATTGAAAGAAAACTTCATTGATTATGGTCCCGTCAAGTTTCTTTTGGTTTCGTATAGTAGGATCTATTCATCAATGTACTTAAAATTCCAGCCATTGTATTAACATTGAAATTCAAGTGCATAGATCAAATGGTGTAAAAATTGGTAGAACTCTAATCCTATAAGCCTTTTTCCAATCAAGTGATAAGTATCGTTTTTGTTTTGATTGTTGTTGTGTTGTAGCCTTGCACGTCTACAAAAATGTTGGTGGTGAGAAATTTGGGGTGGAATACTCTGAAGCTGAGATATTAAACAGATATAGAAGGGCTTGTGGGCAGCCTTGGGGGAGTTCTCGACTCAGGTGACTTTTTGTTTATACAAAACATATGCATATTTTTGCATTCCTATTTCTTTCTAAGCAGTGTTTGAATTTAATTGAATATTAATTATGTAATTGCTCTGAGGAGATATAGAAATCAAATATAATTATTGATGACCCATTTTGTTGATTTTATTGCCATGTGATATGGAAAGCAAGGCTGCAGTAGCTGAGGAGTTCCATCCAAACGATTCCTAGTGATAGTTATGATTATCATATTGGTGGATTTGTGATGTCCACCTTTATTTAATTGTTCATTTAGTAATATTTGGCCTAGAATTGGATCTGTCTTCCTGTGTGAACATGCCAATTTCCTATTCTTACCAATGACACGCATATTAGTAACCTGTAAATCACAGTGGAATTAAAATTTTAATGCAAATTCCTTCCTTTCATTGGGTATATGGCTCTGTAGTCCAAGTTTGCGAGTTATGTAGACGGTGAATAATCTGCTCTTTCGATGATTTTAAAGGTGGGGAGTATTGGATGACTATGGAGAGAAAGGGGATGTATGGGGGTGTTGATTCATTTCTTAGCTGCAACTCATTTGCTACTCTTTTTCTTAAATGTTTTGGAGATTTGTCCATGGATAACTGAATAACATACAAGTAAAGATTGTATTTACAATAGCTCTTGTAATACTTTTCTTCATATGGTAAACAGAACATGGTTGTGGATAAAGGGTTGAGGGACATGGATACATCATACATGGAACAGATTCTTGTCTGGAAATAAACGTTTTAACACAGTGAACTCATTTTGAATCTTGTATTCGTAACATTGTGATTCTGTTAGGCATTATGTCTCAAATTCCTAATGATTGCCTATTATCATCTGCGAGGATGAAGGTTCGGTTGATCAAACATATATGTGTGTGTGTATATATATATCTTGTGGTTTCCTTTTTTAGTTTGGTTTGGTTTGGTTTTGTTTTGTTTTGTTTTGTGACTGCAGTTTTGCTGTGTTCATCTTATCTATTGAAGGTATTTGATACAACCCCACTAATGCTGATAAATGGGGGCTTAAACCATCAACTTCCCTTGTGAGAGGATGAATATAATCCCGTGTGTTTGACTTGACTAGCTACTTACTGCTCACTCTAAAACAAGCATAATCGAGGTATATAGTACTTAATATTATAATTATTATAGTATACAAGTTGCTCTTAATTATTATATAAGTTTATGATTCTTACAGTATCTTGAGAGAAGCCCAAATGGTAGTGTAGAAGCATAATGCCTATATTTTAATGGAGTGATTATGGAAAGCTTGAGTTGGCAGTAAGGAAAGAGTGTGCTTCTCACGTGACATGGCAGTCCGTCCTCATGCATGTAGGCAGCAAGCCTACCTCTCGCTTGTGCCATGCCATGCACACCACACGCATTTGCACGCTCACCCTCTCTCTCTCTCTCTCTCTTTGTATGTACGTGGAGACAACCATATTATTAATAAATGAGTGACCAAAGCAATGACAAAAATAATTGTAGATATTCTCAAACATCGCCACAAAAATAACCTACAAATGAATAAAGTGACATTATTTCGGATTTTTATATCGTTATAAAGAAATTCATTTTAATTTTTAAGCATTATCGGATAGATGTCGGCCGTATTTTATTTGTCTGCTGCATTCCCTAAATTAAATAAATTTGATTTCAATACAGAAACAGAAAAACTTTCTATTAGTATTGGATACAACATTTTCAAAAGAGTGTCCACTCGGTATAGGAATTTCAAATTTTTAATGCAGTCACTCCAATGGATATATATATATATATATATATATATATATATATATATATATCAAACGGACCACATAATTTTTTGTAACATATAATTTCTAAATGCATATTTAGAAAATATCAATGCCATATTATTTTTGAAAGGACTGCATGTGAGTAGAATGAGTTGACGAAGGCATATATATATATATATATATATATGTTTTTCTTCTTGTAGAATTATTATGGAATTCTACATGCATGATTTTTCCGACTATTTCTCATGTGATGCTTATTTGTTTAGCATATGATTTAATCTCTCTTTGAGAAGGAAAACAAAACAAAACAAAAACGAAAACCATTCGATCGATTAGCATTTTGAGTAATTCTTAATTTGTTTGTTGAAAGGAACATCCATTAAGGTCTAGCTAGACACAATCTAAAATAATAAGAACTCTCTCTCTCTCTCTACACAAATTAACATCAAGTGACGAAATTAAGAAGCTATCTATTTGATAAAAAGAGGTGACTTGTCATTTTCTCAATCATATTCTATCAAATCAATGTTAAATTCCAAATAGAAATCAGTTTGTATTGCCATCACTATGTCATATATATAGTATTAATTAAATATATGGTAACTGCTAAGGTAAGTAGTTGAATGGCAGTTTGTCTATAAATACATGTCATGATCATTTCACTTTTCTTATCAAATTAACCAACTTAATCCAAACTAGCTAGCTACTTATCACCATGCTAGCCTTGTCCCCTCCTTTTTTTTCACCCTTTGGTTGGCCATTTGAGGACCCCATAAGCCATGAACACAACTATAATAATACTAGTTTTAACACACAAACACAAACTACTTCACACTCACTTGATCTTCATTTTCCTTCATTTCAACCACAGTTAGGGTTCTGCAACGAATCCACACTACCTCTAACTGCCGGTGATCCCACCGCCACGGTTAAAAAATTTAACCATAATGCTAGTGAGCGCGATCGTCGCAAGAGGATTAACAATTTGTATTCATCCCTCCGTTCACTGCTTCCTGCAGCAGATCAATCGGTAAGAACATTTTTATTTTTTATTTTTCTAGTTTTAGGAAACAACTTCAAGAGATAAAAAAAAAAAAAAAAAATCTCTCGCATGCACTCAGACCCTGAGAATACTCTACTTATTATTGCTTAAAATAGAAGAAAACTTTTTGGTCCTTTGTTTTAAACAATAGACTAATTCGTTTTGATTGTAAATTTTTAGTTATAGATTTAGTTTTTGTAGAAAAATTCGAGATGGATTCTAAGCACTTCTCCTTGATTCACTTAAATGAGTGTGTTTGTGTGTGTGTGATGATGAAAATATATTACTAACCTGGTTAATCTCCTTAGATATTAGTCTTTAAATCTTGACCTAAGCGTTAAGACTGCGCAAAACAAAGGCTCTGATACCAAATACAAAATTAAGACGGAAAATAAAAACTTAGAGAAAGGAATACAAAGAAAGAGAGAAAAAATAAGGGAACTTCAGATGCCTTATTGTTTACAAACCATAAGAATTTATATAGAAAATAAAATATCTTCGTGAATAGTGAAGGAATTTGCTTTTTATTGTTTATGAATAGTCATCGAATCTACTTTTCACTGTTTATGAATAATCGTGTACTGAATAATTATACAATCGTCTAAAAAAGTCTTGGTCATCCTTCTATTCCATTGCTTTTAAGTATGACACAACTCACACACGCATTTGAGGCAACTTCAAGAAAGAACTTTTGCTCTGCAATATTTTTTTGTACAATAAAGAATGCATTACAATATGTTCCTAATTATCAAAAATGACCTAATCTTACCTATTGAATCCAGATATATATAGTTTATTGATATATGGTGTCGATGATCGATGTTTTGTTGCAGAAAAAATTAAGCATTCCACAAACAGTGTCACGTGTGATAAAATACATACCAGAGCTACAAAAGGAAGTGGAGAGACTGGTTCATAAGAAGGAAGAGATTTTGTCAATGGTGTCGAGGCAAGAAGATACAAATAGTATTGAAAAGCAAGGACAAGTAGTGGAGATTCAAAACTCTCTATGTGTTGTCTCAGCAAGTCAATTAGGTGATAGAGAAGTGGTGGTTCAGATATCCACAGTGAAGGACAATAAGAGTCTATTATCTGAGGTTTTGCTAAATCTAGAAGAGGATGGAATTCTTTTAATGAATGCTTCTTCTTTTGAATCTTTTGGAGGGTGGGTCTTCTATAATCTGCAGCTTCAGGTACTCCTTTTTTATTATTATTTTATGACAGACGTTAAATTTTGAATTAACAAATTATTTGTGTAAAATAATTAATATATACAGATGTTTACTTATTTTTCTAGTTATTTAGTAGGTACTTGATTAGGTCAGTTGCATGTGCTTAGTTAAAAAAAATACGTGGTGTATCAAATTTGATGTGTAATTCTAATTACAAAAAAAAAAAAAAAAAAAATGCTGTGTAATTTTATCATTTAATAAAGTAAAATAATATTAATGTTCTAATACTTTTTTTTTCCCATTGTTGGTTTTGGATTCAACAGGTACAAGGAACTCAGAACATAGAGGTTGAGATGCTGAGAGTGAAGTTGTTATGGATGTACAAGGAAATGGAATTGCAGTTTCCTTGAATATTTTGGCACTAAATAATCTAACAGGAGGTTGTTGTAATTTGTAGATATTTAATAAAATAATCACATGCATCGAGTACGATATTAAAAAAAAAACTTGTTCTACTAATGCCGAGGTTAAAAGGTAAAATTTTTGAACGAGGCAACGGTAATGTCCCTTTTTAGGCCTTAAATTATATGAATGCCTACAACAAAGAAAATTTAATGAAAAAGCAGTTTATTAGGTAAAAAATTTTAAAGTGTTGGAAGTTAAAGCAACTATACACCTACCTAGGTATCAAGGTTCGAACCCGACCTTTTCTTGAAGAAGAAAATAGTGATACTGCTGGACTAAAGTTAAAGCAATTATGTAAATAGTTAGTAGTAAATTGTACAAGCCCAAAAGCGAATATGCCCACAATCATAATGGGCTACACATGGATATACAGTAATCATTACATATAGAACCCAAAGGAATTAACCCAACTAAACTATACACGCCTTTGATGATAATCCTCAGCACATCGAATACTTGATCAGATTTTGATTAGAGGATGCCAAATACTGAAAAGAGAATGATTTATTACAATGTTCTAATACAAAAGCTCATGTTGAAAGAATATTATTTGCTACTTTATTTGACATGATATTGCAGGAAAAGCGCTTGCCAAGATCGCACAAAAAATTGTTTTACCAAAATTGCAGGTACTTTTTTATCCTTAATTTGAATAACTGAACAAAGCAAATTTTTTTTTCTTTTAATTAAAAAAAAAAAAAAAAAAAAAAAAAAAAAAAAACAATTTTGTTTCATATATAAATATGCATGTGAATCGTATCTATAAACCAAAATAATTTTGAAAGCTCACAAGCAATTATATGATAATATAACTATAAATTAATCGCAAGAACCTTACCAATCAATGGTTAAATATGGATGGCAATAAGGCGGGTATAAAGCGAGTTTATCTAAATCCGTACCAGTCCCATTCAGTTATAGTCAAATTCATACCCACCTTATACTCGTGACGACGGATTTAAAGTTCACAATTCATATCCGTTTAGGAGATGAGCGTAGCCGTGTACGTGTCAAGATTTTTTTGAAAAACCCAATTAAAAGAGATAAAATATTCTTATCAATATATTTCAATTATTTGAGATTAGATGTTAAACCATATTTAGTCCATAATAAAGTCATAAATTAATTATACAAAAAAAAAAATCTCAAAATAATAAAAAAACTGAAAAATATGTGGTAGTGCGATTTAGGGAAAGAATGAGGGCTTTTATATATTTAGCCAATATCTACATGTCACGTGCAACTCACATGTGTTCATGGATGATCCTCATTTACAAATGACTTATCAAAGTGCTTAATTTATAAAGATATAGAGTAATAGCCCAACTTGTACAAACCCTGATTCCCAAAGAGGAGATAAAGTGTTCGGAGTCGTAGTTATTATTATTTTTCTTCGTTTCGCAACAAGAAGAAGTAACACTAACAAATTCTTTGCAAACGTAAAATCTGAAGCATGATCAAAAATGAAAATCGCAACTCTGACAACCTTACCACAATCATCCCCCAACCTTCAAAGACTTCTTGCACAACGCAGCATCAACATTAGCCTTGACCCATCATCCTTCTGGAGGAGGAAAACAACCTATCTCCTGATTGAAAATTAACTTCATAGTTATCATGGTCTTTGCATTTTTAATTACTATTGAAATTGGATGCAACACTTGAGAAAAAAAAAAAAAAAGTACGAATGAAATATGATCACTGGTGGGCCTGGGCCCAAGTAAAATCCTCACTGGATCAAATAATTAAATTAGTACACCATGTCCTCCCATGCATTTTGTGTGAAGCCCACCCGCCACCCAATTTAAACAAAACAACCCAACCCAATTTTGTGTCAAATGGACTACTGGACTACACTTACGTATCATTTTCTTTACAAAAATTATTAGAGTTTGTGGGAGCTAAAAACAATTAAAATAAATATCATACTGCTGCAACAACCATTTCTGAAATGACCAATATACCCTTTTAGCCTCTCTTTATTCCCTCCATATATCCTCCTCCTTCATTGATTCTCTCTCAGCCACAACCACCATCAGCTTCATACCCATAACCACTGCCACT